GCTTCTGAGTCATCCATGCTGCCGAGTATCTGGAAGCTCAAGATGAGACCTTCTTCTCGAATGGATAGTGAAGCTTCAGTGGACCAAGTGCACTGAAGTTAAAGGAGACTAATTCAGCATCGAGGCATCTTTCTCCTGAGACGTTTCCTGGTGAGGCCGAGAACTCTGTGAAGTCAGTTACCCTCCAGAATGTGTTCAGCCGTCTTCAAGGCTTCGTCCACGTCACCTCTCTCCACCTTCCTCTTGGGTTCAAAGAAGGACTCGTGCTTTATGGCGTCCTGGAGGACAAGACAACAAGAAAAGTGGATCGTTGACGATTATTTTAACCACATTTCCTGAACTTTTTAAGCCGACTTCAGCGGTGAACACTCGATTAATTCCCGCACACTGTAAATATTTCTTCTTGCCGTTTATAGTCGTGATGATTCTTGCTATCTTTCAAAAGGTTTTAGGATTCAGAGGGTTAATATCTAACAGGTGACGGTACCTCTATCGTGAAGAAGACGGGCTGGAGGTCCCGGTAGGTGACCCGGACCTTCTGGGCTGCCCTCCTGGCCTGTTCTCTGCTCTCTGCCACCACAGCACCGACGATCTGACCGACGCAAAGCACCTGCGCACACGTCCCACAGTGTTAACGTACAAAACACAACAGAAAAGTCAAGAGCCCCTTAAGATTTCCTGAAGCATCACAGAAATAAAATTTAAAAAAAAAATAGAATGCACACGTGGTCGGTAGATATTTGAGGGGTTAAAATAGGTTACTAACGTATTTGCAACCATTTTACAAACATAAATGTCGGTTATTCTTGAGTAAATGAAACCCCAATAAACAAAACCTCTTTAGGACGCGGCAAAAACGTCTCGCAATAATAAGATTTTACGTTTAAACTATTATCTTGAGCCACTGACTTAAACGTTGATGCAGACATACAACCTAAAACCTACATGTTTGATTTGCTGAAGCTATCGAAGCTAAATAATTGTGAAAATTTGCCCATCAGAGTCTAAAAAGTGACATCAACAAATTTCTTTGTTCAATCAAGAGGCCAAAGAAATATTAAAACATATTCTAACCAATGACAAAAACAGAAAACCAGGATTTTTTTTAACCTAAATGATTTTTCAGCTTCGTCTTTCATCCCCAGAAATATTAGTTGGGCCAAAATTTGGTTAAATTTGGACTAAATTTGTTTAAAAATGGATGATTGTTGGAATATCTGAGGTACCTCCTCCTCGGCGAACAGCTCCTCGGGGTTGTTGAACCAGAGCCTTCGGTTCGCTCCTGGAACGTCTCCGGCTGAAACAAAGGCGACGACGCCGGGTTGATTCAGGGCCTCCGACGGGTCGATGTTACTGGAGAGTACATTGCATTAGATGAGGTATTTTTTCCACCTAACTGATGATTAAAGCTGCTGAACGGGTGTAGTTCTCTAATATGACCACCAGCCAGCGCTACATCATGTTTTTTTTTATCAAGCATGACCTGCCACTGACATGATCCTGGCGTGGGCTCTCGAACTCGTCACCATGAAGACGAAGAGTTCTCCTTGCACCGGCGGCAGGTCGTCGTAGTACTTTGCTTCGCCTGTGGCCTGCTGGAGGGCCGACTGATGCATGCTGGGACGGCCCACGGGGTCACCGCAGGGCTGGACCTCCGACACAAGCTGTGGATGACAAAACAACTGATTTGTTTGATCAGATAAATAAACGTCACAGAGACGGCAGTGTTCGATGGAGCGCAGAGGAGTGTTTGTTGGATTCAGTGGAGATATGGATGAGTGAACACAGAAGATACGTGTCCCATCTGCATTCAGCAAACTTTAACCTGCTGTTTAGATGATGACTGACATGATAAATTATACAGTTTCTGTTTCTAGATAAAATAAAATATATCAACAAGTAATACCTCAGTTTACTGCTCAGAGAATGTTGCGACAATCGTAAAGAAAAGCAGAAAACCTGCTTTTTTTTAATCTCTTGAAAATACAAATATAAGGGGGATTAGTTCAGGAGTTATTAAATGTATAGTTCAACATTATTATTTGCTTTCTTGCTGAGAATTAAAGCCAGGAGGAGGTTAGCTTAGCATAAAGATTGCTCCACCAGCACCTCTAACGTTCAGTAAATACTGTTGTGACATTTGCATTCATTTGAATGTCATCCATTTTTGTTGCCGTCTTGATGCTAAGCTAACCACCTGCTGTCGTTAGCGTGCAATCAAGTGTACAAGCTGTCAATCCTCGATGAGTCTTCTTAATCTGTTTGAAACACGTACAAATACAATTTTGGTTTAACAGACGTTTGGCTCAAATTCTCACATTTTGACTCATAGATTTAATTTTCTGGCCTCACCGGACTGAACAAATGCATCAAGTAAACGGGTAACAGTCATTTAAAAAGAGCCGAGGCTGTGCTGTTTTTCTTTAAGTGACATTAAGCAGTGCTGATATTGTGAGTAAAATAGTCGCAAAATTGCACAAATGATGATCAAGGTGTCAAGCCGCTATTTTTTTTCTGCAAAACTGAGGCTTTAACTATCCTTAAAAGTTTCTATGCGGACTTTAAATCCATCTGTCAAAATCTGCCACAGACACAGGAAACAATATTTATGTGTTTTAATTTTATTGAAGTATTTACATGTTTTTTTGGAGTTCTTCAACTTCATCAAAGTGGATTTAAAAAGTTAATTTAACATCTCTAAACCTTGCAGGTGCCTCTACGAGTTTTTAATCTAATTAAATACCTGGAAGGACTGTTGACCCTGCGGCGCTTCGTTCTTGAACGGCTTCAATGCGCTGAGATACTCCGGAGGAAGAGCCACGTTTGAAACACCCTACCAGGTGTAATTCAAATAAATTAACAGATGCTGCTGTGTGAATTAAAGTGATTAATGATTGGTTATTGACAGCTTTCCCACCCTCTCTCTCATCTCCAGGACCACTTGCATGTAGAACTTGAAGAAGAAGCTGACGGCGAGCGCCTTGCGGTACTCCGCCTTCCCTCCGTGGATCGCCGGGGAAACGTCGATGTCTTCATTCAGGAGGCGGCAGGCTTCGGAGAGAAAATCCTCCCTCCAAGACCTGGAGACGTCAAAGGTAAAGCCCTCAACATTTTTGGTTTAAACCGCCAAAGTGTGTCAACAAAATGTCCTGCCGAATGCAAACACGCATCCAGCAAACCGAACCGCCAACGTACCAGCCGACAAGCTGCTGACAGGTTCGTTTAGGTTTCACCACAGCGGGTCCGACTCCGCCGTAGTAGACGCTGAGGGACTCCACGGTGTCGGTTCCCTCCCTGATGACCGCCTTCATCCCGGCGTTCACGAAAGAGAAAGCGAACTCCCTTCTCTGGGCCTGTCGATACGCCGCCACAAACTCCCACTGAGGAAGCAACAAACGCCAACA